TTCTTTTACTTGACAGGTAGCAAGGATCAGTGAACTATCAGAGGGCTGGTGTTGGGAGCACTGAATAATGTTCAGGAGGCAGTACCTTCGGGGAAAGTTCAAAGATTACTGAACTTCTCTGGGCCTCCATTTTTCTCTACTTTTAGAAAATAATATTCTATAGAGACAGAACTTACATGATGATTTTGACAGACCTATAACACACATAAGCACATATATACACATGTATGTGCATATGTAATTGTTTATAATTTTTTTATGTCAAAGTATTACTGGGGTACAAATGTTTTTAGTTACAAGGATTGCTTTTGTAATGTTTGAGTCAAGCCTGTCACAAAGATGGTGTTCATTGTACCCATTAGGTAGGTCAGCATCCATTTCCTCCTCCTCCCAAGCCCCTGGTTGATTTACATTGAGTTATACTTCCCTCTGTGCACATTGTGTGCTCACTTAATAGTAAGTATATGTGGTGTTTGTTTTTTCATTCTTGTAATACTTCACTTAGGATAATGGTCTCCAGTTCCATCCATGAAGTCATCCTTCTTCATGGCTGAGTAGTATTCCATGTAGTATACCACATTTTCTTAATCCACTCATGAATTGGTAGGCATTTGGGTTGATTCCACATCTTTGAAATTGTGAATTGTGCTGCAATAAACACTTGAATGCAATTTTTTTTAATAAAAAGATTCCTTTTCCTTTGGGTAAATACCCAGTAGTGGGATTGCTGGATCAAATTGTAGGTCTCCTTTTAGCTCTTTCAGGAATCTCCATACTGTTTTCCATAGAGGTTGTACTAATTTGTGTTCCCACCAACAGTGTGTAAGTGTTCCTTTCTCTCTGCATCCATGTCAGCACCAACTGATTTTGAACTTTTTAATAAAAGCCATTCTAACACAGGTAAGGTAACATTGTGGCTTTAATTTGCATTTCCCTCATAGTTAGTGACATTGAGCATTTTTTCATATGTTTATTGGCAATTTGTCTATCTTCTTTTGAAAAACTTCTGTTCATGTCTTTAGCCCATTTTTTAATGGGACTGTTTGATTTTTTCTTGCTGATTTGCTTAAGTACTTTATATATTCTGGTTATTAGCCCTTTATTAGATGTATAGCTTGTGAATATTTTCTCCCACTATATAACTTGTCTATTTGCTCTCTTGATTATTTCCTTGATTGTGCATAAGCTTTTTAATTTAATCAAGTCCCACTTACTTACTTTTGTTTTTGCTGCGATTGCCATTAGGGTCTTCTTCATAAATTCTTTGCCTAGTCCAATATCTAGAAGAGGTCTACCAACACTTTCTTCTAGAGTTCTGATGGTTTCATGCCTTACATTTAATTCTTTTATCCATCTTGAATTAATTTCTGTGATTGATGAGAGTCATGGATCCTGTTTCAATCCTCTCCATGAGGCTATCCAGTTGTCCCAGTACCATTTATTGAATAGGGATTCTTTTCCCCAGTGTATCTTATTGTCTGCAGGACTAGAAGTTGTCCTGGGTAAGTTTATGAGTGAGTGATGAATGACTGCAAAGGCCTAGGACACTATTGTACACTACTGTAGACTTTATAAACACTGTCCACTTAGGCTACACTAAATTTACTTAAAAAGTATTTTCTTTCTCCAACAATAAATGTATCTCAGCTTACTGTAGCTATTTTACTTTATAAACTTAAATTTTTTTTAAAAAAAAATTTACTCTTTTGCAATAACACTTACTTCGAAGTACAAGCACATTGTACCATCTTTTATCTTTTATAACACATTTTTTACTGTACCTTTTCTGTTTAGATATGTCTAGATACACAAAAGTTGCCACTGTGTTACAACTGTTTATAGCATTAAGTAGAGTAACATGCTGTACAGCTTGTAGCCTAGGAGCAATAGGCCACACCATATAGCCTAGGGGTGAAGTAGGCTATATCATCTAGGTTTGCATAAATGCACCCTGTGATGTTTGCACAACAACAAAATTGCCTAACATTACATTTCTCAATGTATTCCTGATGTTAAGAGACACATGACGGTACTTACGAGCATTAAATATTACAGAGATTTTTGGCAAAGTGGTTAAGTTAGAATGTACACAGAGCGACTAATTTTATTTACAACTGGGAGCCCACACGTAAGGCAGTGGAGGTTGCTGTAGTCATTGTTATGCTCAGGAAGAGACTCTTGCTGTCACTTAAGGCTCACTTGCTTCTGCTTACCCAGAATTTGAGCAAAGTCATACTTTGTAATTCTTCACTGAAAGCCACATCTCCAAGTCACTAGCTCCATAATGAAGGGCAATGATGTGAATCACTCCCCAGGGTAGAGCTTACTATGGTTCAGGGGAAGGTGATGGGGTGGCCCTCTGGGAATGTTCTGGGATGATGTGCTGTCCTTTGATTCTCATGGGGGTTTCCATGCAGGATACAATTTTTTCCTTTTGCCCGTATCATCCAAGATTCCTGAAGGTCTTCTTCTTCCTTCCTTCCTTCTGTTCTTTCCTTCCTTCTCTTCTCTTCTCTCCTCTCCTCTCCTCTCCTCTCCTCTCCTCTCCTCTCCTCTCCTCTCCTCTCCTCTCCTCTCCTCTTCTCTTCTCTTCTCTTCTCTTCTCTTCTCTTTTTTCTATTCTGTTTTTTTCCAGTGGATTTTTTTTTAAAAAACTCAACTAGCCAACATAGAGACAGTAGCTACCTTTTATTTCTCCTTTTATTCACACTAGTTGATTGTAGAATGTAGGCAGGATTTTCCTACCTTTCAAAAATGAGGCTCTGAAGACAACATTTAGCTTAGTATAACTGCAAACCCAATGCTCCTAGTTCTGCAACATGGATCTGGGTGAAAACACACCAGGCATTTCTGGCTGTCTTCTCATAGAAAGCCCTTGCACAGGAAAAGCATCCTGCAGTGTATATGAGGAAGGTGTGAAAATTATTTACACAGGCAGTTCACAGGCTGAGATCCCTGTTGGGGTAAAAGGGAGAGATTTTCAGTCTCTACCTTCAGGAGTCCTGGCTCTTGGTAGAAAGACCAACTGAACTCCCAGCCCTGGTGTTGCCTGCTATAAACCCCTCTAGTTCAGGCTGTATTTGGTGTTTTCTTGACACACAGTGTCCCTCTCTTGGAAAGGTTTTTACTTTGGATTCCTCTCTGATGGAGTCTACAGAGGCATGCAGGAGGCTTGGTGGAAAAGGTGGTGTGTCCCAGCTAAAATTCTCAGAAAATAAAGTCTACATTCTCCAAAAAGAGATTTTACAACTAAGGAGGGAAAACAGAAGCAAAAGATAAGTTATCACCATATGACCAATTGTCAGCCTAACAAAAAACCATGCTGAGCTAATTTCATGTATTTTTAAAAAGTAGTCTTCTTAGTTACTTTTCCTTTTCTGGTTGAAAGAGAAATTTTAAAATTTAGCCTAAGGATCAATCTTTCTTTTTTTTCACACTAAATATTCAAATATAAGAAGGAATAATATGGCTAAAAATATATTGTATTCATTTTTTTTATATGTAGAGAAAGAAACCTACTTGAATGAGTTTGATAGGGACATTGACAATTTACTTATTATATGCCAGGTACCGGTCTAAATGCCTTTTATGAATTATTTAAGCAAATCCTCACAATAAACCTTTGGACTATTATTATTACCATTTCACAGTGAGAAAACTAAATCTTAGAGGGTTTAATCACTTGAACAATGTTACACCACTAAACCGTAATAGGATCAGAATTAGAATTTAAGTGATCTGATTCTAGAGCCCACATTCTAAACCATTTTACACACTACCTCCAAGAATAAAGAATGTTTCCTGTGGCACCAGCTTATAGGCTTCTATAAAAATGGTGGCCAGGCCTTTTTGTTGTGAAACAGTAGTTTCTCTTGCCCAACCAAATGAACCTTTGCTGTTGGTCAGAAACCCCTCCAATCGCCCACTGGCCAGCATATGTTTTGTCTCACTGGGACAGGTTCTGTTCCCTTTTCACCACCCAGCCTTTATCAGAGTAGATATCCAGGCCTCACCAATGGCTCCTCAGGTAAGACAAGGTGAGACCATATCATAAAACCTCTCAGGGAGGGAACTTCAAATCTTATAGAAACACATCTCCCTGAATGTCTTTGAACCACATGGATTACTTTATAAATTATCATGTCATCAGATTCGGAGGTTTCAATAATAAACTATTTACAATAACTTATTTTCTCTCCGACTGAAGTTAATGAGGACCATATCACCTTTCTACCTAAACCAGATCAATGTATATCAGTCTACACTTAGAAATAATAGTACTTTTCATTTGTAAGGAGCTTTCAAGGTTACTTCTAACTTAATTTTTTTTTTTTTTTTTTGAGACAGAGTCTCGCTTTGTTGTCCAGGCTAGAGTGAGTGCCGTGGCGTCAGCCTAGCTCACAGCAACCTCAAACTCCTGGGCTAGAGTGATCCTTCTGCCTCAGCCTCCCCAGTAGCTGGGACTACAGGCATGCGCCACTATGCCCGGCTAATTTTATATATATATATCAGTTGGCCAATTAATTTCTTTCTATTTATAGTAGAGACGGGGTCTCGCTCTTGCTCAGGCTGGTTTTGAACTCCTGACCTTGAGCAATCCGCCTGCCTCGGCCTCCCAAGAGCTAGGATTACAGGCGTGAGCCACAGCGCCCGGCCTAACTTAATTTTTACAAAAACTCTATGAGCTTATCCTAACTATCCCCATTTACAGATGAGTAGATTGCAGTTCATAGAGATAAAATGCCTTGACTTAAGGTCATAGAGAAATGACAGAGTTGACACCCCAAACCCAAGTTTTTCTATCTCAAAATCTAGTGTGCATTGCTATTATGGTGTTACTTAAGGAAGAAGTTCACTTTCATTTATTTTTATTTATTTCCATTTCATAATGGCGTGTACATCCCACATATTTTCCCATGTCCTCTGTCTGGCTTTTAAGTAGGTAATAACCACCTCATCAACCTTGATGACATGAATCTTAGATAATACCTTCTGTCTACAGGAGTCATCTGCCATCATCCAAATAACTTTAAGATTATTCTTGATGTTTATACACAGGCTTCAGTGAATCTGCAGTAATAGACAATTTTTTTTTCAATCAAATAACAGTGTGTTTAGTGTTGTTTTAGATATAGTACTAGATTAAGAGGGTGGAAAATGAATCCCCAAGAGTGTACATTTGGGCCAGTCACTGCCATTTCCTGAGCTCAGTTTTCATATGTGAAATCCAAGGGCATTGGATTAGCACTAGATCATCTCTAAACTCTTGCATTTTAAAGCCTATTTAAGTTGACATCTAAAGGACAGCAGTGGATATGTTGGCAGCAAGAGGCCAGCAAAAACAGAGCTGGTTCCTGTAATTCTTCTGAACCACCACACGTAGGTTCTAAGCACAAAGAGACAAAAGCTGGGAAGTATTTAGAGAGCCATGGAACTACTATCAGAGGCATCGCCTCAGGGTCTCCCCAAGCCGTGCAGGCAGAGCACCTACCTCTGTGGACGTCCAGAGAGGTGGGTTCAACATCCTACTCAGAAACAGCTAGCTGCTACCAGTGAGTTCTTCTTTATGCATTTCCTCAATCATCCACATCTTCTATGCCTTTTCCTCCTTTCATCTAGTAACTCTGTGGTTTAAAAATGTTTGATGATAGCCAGTGGTATAACAGCCTAATACAGACAAGCTATTTGGCCAGAATAGGACTCACACTTTAGAGAATCTTTCTCAAGGTTTAGTCACTGTAGAGGAAATTGTGGTTGGGTCCCACCATCCATTCCGCTCTTCCCAGCACTGTGGTTTGAGGGCTTCATGTCAGCTCCAAGGGTAGGTTGTGAGGCACAAAAACTACATATGAGATTAAAGGTTTTTTTGTTTGTTTGTTTTTACCTCTCTTGCCAGCAATTGTCTTAGAAATGCAGGCTTGGGTCAATCAGCACAAGGCCTTAATCTGATGGCGGGGAATAAATCATTCAGGAAGTCTTCCACATCACCTCCCAAACCTGTCTGCTACATCACACTTGCTCATTCAAGTCCAGCCATGCTGGCCTCTGGTTGTTTCTTGAACATGCCCCAAGGGTCTTTGCATTATTGGCTATTTCCTCTGCCTGGAGTGATCCTCTACTCTCACTCCAAAGCTAATTCCCTCATTTCCTTCAAGTCTTTGCTCAAATGTCACTCTCTCAATGAGACCTATTCTGACCATCCTATTTGGAATTGCAACAAACCCCTTCATTACTCTCAATATATTCTATTTCCTATTCTCCTCCCCACTCCAATAAGTTTTAAACATTCTATAAAATATAATTATTTATCACACTTATCAATGCATGTTTTCTCCTACTAGCATGTAAGCATCTGGCAGGAAATCTTTGCATTGTTCCCTGTTTCAGCCTAGGTGCATACGATAGTGCCTGGCTGGCTCATGGCAGGCATTCAGTACCTTCTCTCCATTGCACACTTTTGTCATCATTCACAATCTGGATCTATTTGACCTGGGTAGATTTTACCCACCTAAAGTTTTCTGAAGTTCAAATACAGAGCAGATAACTTCACGGACCATATAATTGATCAATTATCCAATTGGGATAATTTTGAGAGTAAAAGTAATTTTGAGAGTAAAAGTATTTTTTAATAATTATGTCATGACAACAATTTAGATAGGCACCACCATGGGCAAACAAGGACAACTTAGGGTCATCTTATTTATAAAGAGTGTGGTCCAGGGAGCAAGAGTGAGGGATGGAGAAGAACAACAGGAAAGAGGGGGAACAAATGCAAAGCTACGTTATGGAGCTGCCTCCTTCTCTGGGCACCTGGTTGCTGGATCCTGGGGACAGTCTAAGGGACCTCATATAATATGTCTCAGAAGTAAATGTGCAGAGAAGGAAGAGGGTAGCACCTATGCCTTGGCCCCTGCCCCCCACTGGTTAGTGGCTCACCCGTAGGCATTTCCAGGTTGTACATGCACGTGGGGCCCCTGCCAAGGGCCTCCTAAGAAGCAGAAGGTGTGTAGCATAGTCCTGATGCTCCATATTGTCAAGATGTCCCTGTGTGAGCCTGGCAGGAGCCCAATAGGAAAAGGGTTGAGATCACTGCAGGACTGACTGAACTATAAGATAGGCAAGGCTGAAAGAACACAAATTGTGAATAAGTAGATCTCAACACAGTGCTTTACAGTTTGAAACATGGGGTAGTGCGTGAACCACTGCCAAAGGAAAATAAAAAAAGCCAAGAAGACAAGGAGCCTGTCCAATTTGATAACTAGAACTCCTATCCATAGGTTGTTATTTAATTTAATTAATCTCTAGATTTCTTTATACCTTATACCAATTCTCAGAAAAACAAAAATCAGAAAACTGTCCTAAATTCATGCATAGTTACCCAGCAGGGCATGTGGGGAATAATTTTGCTTGAAAGAGTCTCTTTCTTTTGATGTTTTCTTTCTCCCCATGGATAACATGACTTTCTAATGGAGACAACACCATAAAACAAATCTTCCCATGCCTGAGGATAGTGTATCTTCCTTGGCATTGCTATCTCCCGACCTCCCTTTCTCTAGTCCACCCTCCCTTTCTCCTGCCCCTGTAGGCTACACATGATGAAGAGATGCGGCTTTGGTAGTCATAAAGGATCAGGGCATGCAATGCCTGGGCAAGAGCTATGATGCAGCTTTTCCCCAAGGGGGAGAAATGAATCCCAGCTCTCCCATAGCATTTGGATTCTCAAGCTTTCAAAAATGCTACATCAGCACGGGCCAGAAACAGCATAGAGTATCTCTATTTGGTCTAAACATAAAATAAATTCTAAGAAATCCATTGTGATAAAATTAAAATATAGAACCCACGGGTGTTCTAAAGTGCTACCTGGAGATTCGCTGTGAAAATTCTATGAGATTATTGCTCAGTGAGCTTTAGTATTATCAGAAAAACGATGGTTCCTTGGAAGTGGCTGCTTCTCTGTCTCTGAAAGGGCTATTGCAGGGCAGAGGTGGAATTTAGGTGTGCAGTTCGGAAAGAAGAGTTTTAGAGAAGTAGACAGATTCAGGGATCTATACAAATCCCACAAAGATCTATTATTTATGGACCATCTGCATGTGTCTGAGCATAGGTACCAATCGGGAAGACCAGAACCTCAATGGGGGGGGGGATGCTCACTGTTCCCAGTAGCAAGTGGCTGGGGACCAGTCCTGAGGGTACAGACCTCTGGTGGGGTGATCTCAGAACTTCCCTAGGCTGCCTAAGTGAGGGGACAGCAAAGCACATGGTAGGAAAACAGCTTTGGAAAAGGGCTTTGCAGCTACACTGAAAGAGCCTTGGAAAAAGGGGAGATGAAGGTAATGTTTGAATTAGGGTATTTCATCACTTTTTTTGATCTTTAGTGTCAACTTTCAAATAGCAGCAGATGGGTAACCATATTAAAGTTTATTCACAATGAATCTTGCTTTTACCCTTTCTTGACAATTGAACTCCAACTCCTTTTTCAATACTATGTATACTTTTCTTGCTATTTTTGAGTGCCATGAAGCCTATCATATCAAAATATTTCATTATCTTAGCACTATTCTGAGGTTAACCTTCCTGAAATGCAAATCAATCATGGTTCTCCTCCCTTCAGCCCCAGTCCCCTCATAGCTTTCAGGGTAAATTTTAAACTCTTTAGGGTGGTGCATAGGCTCTTCATGAGATATACCCCACTTACCTCTCTAGACACTTCATCTGACACTACCCCTAATAAACCCTCCTGTCCCAGCAGCAAGCTCACACAAGTCATTTCTTCCAGATCTCACAGTCTTTGCCTATGCTGTTCACTCTGTCTAGACTCCTCTTCCTGCACGTTTCTGCCTGAAGAACCTGTCAGTTTTCTAGTTCAATCCAAGGCTACCCTCTCTCTATGGCCTATGATGTGCCAGGTTCAGTGCAAGGCACAGGAGCCCCAAAGACAAAGAAGATTCAGCTCCTGCCCTCAGGAAGCCCCTAGCCTTGCAGGGCAGACAGAAATGTGTGCATGTAATTATGATACTATGTGATGCATTGGATTTTATTTTAATACTACTTATAAAAGTATGGAAGAAAACAAAATTTTAATTGATTTCAGCTATGGCAATGGCTGGGGAAGAACTCAAGGAAAGCTAAGAGGAAGGGGAGACATCTCAAGAAGTGAACCTTCTGGCCAGGCGAGGTGGCTCACGCCTGTAATCCTAGCACTATGAGAGGCCGGGGTGGGTGAATTGCTCAAGGTCAGGAGTTCAAAACCAGCCTGAGCAAGAGCGAGACCCGTCTCTACTAATTATAGAAAGAAATTAATTGGCCAACTAATATATGTAGAAAAAATTAGCCGGGCATGGTGGCACATGCCTGTAGTCCCAGCTACTCGGGAGGCTGAGGCAGTAGGATTGCTTGAGCCCAGGAGTTTGAGGTTGCTGTGAGCTAGGCTGACGCCATCACACTCACTCTGACCTGGACAACAAAGTGAGACAAACAAAACAAAACAAAACAAAAAACAGAGAAGTGGACCTTCAAATATGAGTAGAATTTTTCCCAGTGGCAAAAGTATTATGGGATGATGCAGTTATGGCTTGAGGGTGAGAAAATATTCTGTGAAATATGAAAATGAAACACGAAGTTGCATAGACTATTTGGGAACAGTCTATTTGGATGCTTGCAGACTGTGGGTGAAGGTAGCACTGCAGTAAAACAGCGAAAAAAAAAATGAACAAATAGATATAGTATAACATACTGTCTGGTGGTGATAACTTCAGTGAAAAATAATAATAAAGCCAGGAAAAACATGGAGATGATTGGGCACTCTTTTAGAAAGGATGGCCAGAGAAATTCTCACTGAGAAGGTGATATTCGAGCAGGGAACTGAATTATGTATGGGAGTTGTTCAGAGGAAGGGCTTTCCAGGCAGAGGGCGCAGCAAGGGCAAAGGCCATGAGGCTGGAGTGTGCTTGGCATGTTAAAGCATTTTCAATGAGGCCAGGATGGCTGCAGCTGAGTAAGTAAGGAGATGTGTTGGCGAAATGAGGTCTGAGAAATCCTTGCAAAGCTGATTATCGAGTCCACCTGACACTCAAGCCTAGTCAGAATATATTTTCACCTTTCCTGGCAAATCCCATATACCTATCCCCTTAAGCAAGTCTAGACCGATTTTAGGCAAGAAAAAAAAAAAAAGGTATTCACAATGTTAATTCATTCCACCTGCCTCCCAATCCTGAAAATATAAAGTGATAGTATTTAAAATAGTACACGAAGGGAAATAGTTAGGAAATAACCGTATCAGGGGCTTTTGACCCAGAGTCTATTAGGTGTGCTTTAGCAAGATCTGGGCCTTCCATAATCACACACAAAATTGTATTTAGAGTTGCATGTTGAATTTTTTCCTGGGGAGAGAAGAATTAAAGCTTCATCAAATTTTCAAAGTAGTCTATGACACTCCTAAGATTTAAGAGACCCCAAATAAAGAGTTTTTATGATGGGCTCCTCTTATTTCTATACTTGAGAAAATAGAGTAGGAATCAAAATCACCAACAACCCAAATGAGGCCAGGTTTGCTGAAAGGGTAACAATTTATGTAGTTTATGCAAATAAGAAAAGAGAAAATTTGGCCTGTTTAAAAAATATATTGTCAAAGGTGGTGCAGCCTACAAGCCCTTGGGTGACTTTCGCATGCAGGTCCTGAGATGGGTATTGAGACTGAGAACTCTGTAACTAAGGTTCTGTCTCCCTTAGACTTGTTTTCAGAGCATTATCTGGGAACAGTCTCTTTCCTTCCATCCTCCTTACTTTACAGGAAAAACCTTTTGGTCTGATGGTACAAAGCAAATAAATCCAAATCTGTGTATACAAAAAACCTCCTCCCAGCTATCTCTTCTCTCCTAAACTGTAGACCATTTCCCTCTGTGGGTTTATGTCTCCATAGCCTTCCATCCACAAGTCAGAGACAACCAGTCTGACTTTCTTTTTTAGTAGTTACATTAGGATGTACCTGTCAGCAGCACCAGTATCACAAACTCACAGCAGTTAATATTATTGAGTTCATATTTCTGGGCTAAATGCTTTACATGCATTATTTTGTCTAATCACCGAACAATCCTTTAAGTAAGCATTACTACGAGCTCCATTCCAAAGATGAGAAAACTGAGGTTAAGAAAGGTTACTTTGAGAAGGGATCAAGATGGCTGACTAGATGCAGGTAGGATGTGCTTCCTCCACAGAGAGGAACCAGAATAGTAAGTAGATACTCACATTTCAAACATATTGTCTAGGAGAGAACTATAGGACTCACCAGAGAAGTAATGGGAAGCATGAAAAGTAAGTAAAGAGAGGGGTAAAGGCAGCTTTCCCAGCTTGAGTCTGGCTGAGAGCCGGGAGAAGCTGCTGGACATGAGACAACAGTAAAACAGAAATCCCCAGGGCTCCACACTCCAAAATGTGCTACTACAATCTTGGCTATGGGAGAACGCCTTAACCCACACGGGCTCCAGGCCTAACACAGGGAGCTGCCTGAAGATTGCATGGAGTTGTTGCTCCACAAAGGGAACCCACACAGAATCCCACAGGTATCTGAGCCTAGAGCAGCTGAAGCTGGGAGCCATTCTGAAAGCCTAGATACTGGGGATCTACAGACACACCCGCTGCCACTACACTGCTCTGAAGAGGGAGAGGGAAGAACAGACATTCCCATGCACCCCTGGGAAGGTCCCCACCTCCCTATTGTGGGCTGCTGAGTATGAGATGTAAGCAGACTGCCCTCCTCATAGCTTCTTGTCTACACTGCTTGCGTGGGAGGGGTCCTACCCTCTCTGGTTGTAGGCCCAAGTCACCATTTTAAGAGTTTAATATACTGGGCTGCATTCTACCCTCAGGTCGAGTTTAGGTCAACATGGCAGCACCCACTCCCTGGCCAAAGAAAAACAGGGAAACCGATTCTTCTATGCATAGCCAGCACAATACCCAGCACCCTCTAAAGGCTGCTGTGAGCCTGAGACTCAAGTGAACCACATTCCCCACAGCTTCTTGCCCATACTGCTCACATGACAAGAGCCCCACCCTCTCCAGTCACATGCCCACACCCAGTGCCACTTTGAAAGTTTAACACTAGGCTGCCCCTTCCCCTTGCGCTGAGTTCAAGGTGATGTGGCTGCAGCTGCCATACAGCCATAGAGAGACAGGGGATACCAAGCTCTCCTAAGCACATGTAGGAAAATACTTACCGCTCTGCTATGGGCAGCTGTGGGACTGGGGACTAGCCCCTCCAACCCATTGCAGCTACCAGGAACTGCAAAACAGACTCCTTGGGTCCCGGTGGGTTGCCCCACCACATCTACGACCAACTCCTACATCATACCAGCTGTCCAGGGGCCTGAGAAACCACTGACAAACCCATTGCACTGTTCCCATGACTAGTTTCTGAGTGAGCCACCTGGAGACCCCTAAGAATTAACCTTTCAGGACCCACTAATACTGGTGACAGCATAAGCTGCTCTGGGGCCTAAAATCTGGCATAGTTAGTCCATTGTTACCACCAGTAGGGCCCAAAGAGTGGCTCAGTTGGCATCCAAGTCCCCAATAAAACTTTACTATAGCCTCAACTAATAATTATTCCCTAAGCCACCAGGAAAGTGGTATCTATGGATACCACTGATCCTGTGTACTGCTGAAGAAGTCATACAAAGATCACACTACCATAGGCATCCAAAATAAAAGCCAAAGTGTGCTAGTCAACCAACCATATATATACATATTCAGGAAAAAATTCTCCCCTACAAA